ATAGCAGTGGGAGAGGGCTTGCTGAAGGAGCCCTGGTGGCAGAGTGTTAAGTGTACGTTTGACAGTTCAAACCCAGCGGCAGCTGCTCAGTGGGAGAAAATGAAGCTGTCTCCTCCTATAAAGATTTGCAGTCTCAGAAACCCTCTGGAGCCATTCTACTGTGCCCTATAGGGTCATTATGAGTCAGAGTTGACTTGGTCATGGTAGATTTGCTTTTTGTTTGGTACAGTTTACTGCGGGAATCCCTGAGAGGTGCAGTTAACTTAATGCTTTCATGGTTTCTAGCCATGGTTGTGGCTTCACCGCTCAGAGGCATCTTGGAAGAGAGGTCTGACAATCCACTTCCAAAACCTCAGCCGCTGGAAAGCCTCGGAGCACAGTGCTGCTCAGACATCTTGCTTGTCATCAGCAAGATCTGGCTTCCTTGTGTTTTCACCAGAAAGGCCATTCTTTCCAACCTCTGCATTGCCCTTAGTTCCAACGCACCGGAAACACCATTGTCCAGTAGTCTAATAGGGCCAGCGACACAAGTCTCCTCATCTGGCAGCGTGGGGAAAATGGGACACAAATGGTACTAGTATAAGACCTTTAGCCCTGGTGGCGTAGTGGTTAGTGTTGGGCTGCGATTCGGAAGGTCAGCCGTTCAAAACACCAGCCGTAAAGTTAGTCTCAGAAACCCACAGGAGCAATTCTACCCTGTCCTATAGGGGGCGCTATGAGTCGGCATGGACTCCAATGCAGTGAGTTTGGTTTGGGTTTACCTCGAAAGTACCTTCTCTCACTCCTTCCCCCAGGCCCCAACCTGGTGCTTGGATCTGAGAACCCGGAAGGCTTGCCCTCTGGGTTATTGCCTCTGAACTACAGTCGTGGGTCCCACAGCAGATCTCCAGAGCTAGCTTTCTCTTCTGCATATCGTAGGAAAGGAGGATTATGGTTTCCCAGGGTACCATCTTTGCACCCTTGCTTCCGGCACATCCTCAGGTGCGTCCAAGTAAGAAAAGCAGAGGTAGGGAAGCCGCCTGACTGAGTCTTCAGAGGTAATTCTAAAGCAGACACGAACGATCGTTTTTCCAAATAATATGGATGAAATCACGCTCCGGGTACCCGAAGCCCGCCATTCCTCGGCTTCCTGTACCGTCAGGGTATAAAGCCCGAAGCCCTGGTCAGCTCAGTAACCGTAAAGAAGGTGGCAAGTTGCAGGACCCGGGCCCACCTTCGTACCCGGGACAGAGGCGGGCGCTTCCTACCGGAACTGACGTGCCCTCCATCCCAGCCGGGCTCTCCCCAAACAAAAGGGATCCTGGGCCCCCGGGAGGAGCGTAAATGACATTGGAGAAGCCCCTCCCCCTGCCAGCACGGATTGGTAGCGGCGCTGGCGAGGCGAGGTGGTGATTGGCCGCGATGAATGCCAATCCCCCTGCCTGGCGGCTGACGGGGAGGGGCCTCGGGGAGCCGTGGATGGGAGCGGGTGGCGGAGGCGGCGGCGAAGCGAGCCGGGAGCGGCGGGAAGAGAGAGGTAGGATCTCCTAGGGCTGGGGGCTTGGCGGTTGTTGGGCGCTCGCGAGAAAAGCCAGGGTAGGCCCCCCGGTGCCCTCCCGCCGGCTCCTCGGGGCCGCGCTCTCGCCCCCATCCCCGGAGGGGGCGGGGCCGTCTCCTCCACCTCCCGGTATTCCCAGAGGAGGCGGCTCCTCATCCGCGGAGGGTCCCCACGGCTCCGTACCGCTCCCCTGCCACAGCGGCCTCCTCAGAAGGGGCTTCCCTCCCGACACCCCTCCTTTCAAGGCTCGAGCTCTCGCCCGGCGCCTCAACCTCGGAGGGCGCTCGGGTTCCCATCCCGCCGCCCCCGCCCCCATTTTTGTACCCCGGGCCGCCAGGCATCCTTCCCTACACCTGTCCCCACTGGTTAGGGTGGGACCCGAGCTGGCTTCTTCCGTGACCTAAAATCGGTGCTTTCTAGAACAGAGGGAGGGGGCGAAGCGAAAGCCAAAGACCCGACCCAGACGGCCAGCGCCGCGGATGAAGCGCCCCTCCCCTCCTTC